TAGAATCCATAACTCATTTAAGGATTGACAGTCTTGTTAACACATAAAAAGATCTAAATGCTGTAGAAAAGAAATGTAAATTTGTGTAATTTTAATTAGATTTACATGACAATGAAATGCTTATTTTGTTTGTTTTAGTTTTAAGTAACCAAACAATTTGGGTTCCCTTTATGTCCAATATGTTTTAGTAAATCACTTTTATGAAATGCTTATCTAGATGATATATAAAGATCCTTCCAGGTTTAACATTCTGATTCTATGGCATGAATAATCTACATATGCTCTTACTTCTTGACTTTGAAGGATGTATTGGTATATTTTGAAGGTTAGCCATATCATCGTTCCTTCCAAAGACAACTCCCATCCCTAAATGTGCATCCTATCACAAGTCAGAAATAACACAGCTTAGTTTAAGGTACAAAATTAAAGTATAAACAATGGTAGATTTGGTAAGACCTAACTCTTGGGACTTTGCTTAAAAAGTCAAATATTACACATACATATTTTTTGCTTGTTCGATTTTTCAATGAGCTCTGCCACTGCAGCTCAAGGGAGATTAAGGGAAAAAAACCTACATAAACACAAAGCAAAAACCCGAGCTTGTGTGTAAAGCTACTGCACTGGAGCGAATGTGGTTTAATTCTTGGCACTGGCAGCTTGTTGGAGAATTACAATATGTTGGCATGAGTCTCTAGGTCTCATTGTTCCAGATGAGGGAGTCAGTCTTAAGAGTGTTTGGCACTGAAGGGAAAAAGGAGTGAGAGTTATAGGGAATGAGCAGGCCCTAAAGAGGCAGGATGCTGTTGTAACAATGGCTGGCACAGTTGGGGGGGCCATTCACTGGTAGGGATTGCCATAGGCATTGATGTGAAGAAACATATGTGAGCAAAAGAGGCAAGGATGAGGAGGGAAAATCAAGCAAACATCAAAAGGGTCCTAATGGCACAAAGAGACAAAAGTAATCCAATCAGAGTCATCTTGATATTAATGGATTGACTGGTAAGGATATCTGTCATTTCCCTGTAATTTATCTTATCACTTGTTTCTTACCATTTATTCTATGTTTTATTTTAAGATATGCACATATTTATCTTTCCCCCAAAGAAACAGATCCCTGAATTAAGAGGCTCTGGTTTTGTATTCCATCTGTTCTACTTTCTGCCTAGGTGCTGCTGGGAAAAGCATCTTTCTGAGCCTTAGTTTTCTCATCTGCAAAATGGATATAATAATAATGCATACCATTGACAACATTGTGGTATCTGACAACATTATATAAACTGAAATGCTATGCAAATAATAAGAACTACTATTATCTCTTATACTTATTTTAATATAGGAAACACTAGTTTTTATTTTTGACAGCAATTGTGATACTTTAATGTTTGAGCAAAGCAACTCTCAGGAGAATTGTTACAGGTGCTAGAAGGAAAGCTATGGCATATCTTAATGTGAAAATAATGGATAATCCAGTATTTGAACTTTGGGAAATAACTATGTCCTCAAACATACTATACATACTCATAGGATAAAATGCAATTCCACATGTACTTATAAAAATAACATCTTACATTAGAAAATTGAATATTTAGTAGATAGCTACTATCTTTTTTAGTCCGTAAATACTGAAGCAGCACTTACATAATTGTGTCAAATTTCACTTTAATCACATTCACACATTTAATGAACAGGTGTATTATAAATATTGGGATTTTGCCATTTGGCATCTTACAGTTCTAGTCATGTGTATCCTATGGATTCTTTACCATCTTCAGGGAAATTCATCCATTGGTACCTGTGCATCCTTTGTATTCATTTATTACCATTGTGAAATCATCATTAACCATCATTGTTACCATCCATTGTGAAATCATTTCTTACTGCTTCTTCATGAACTACCAATGGAGACAAATTAGAACAGTAGTAGTTGGAGGAATACTTGATGTGGACTTGCTTAAAGCTCTTTATTTCATAGTAGTTTAGATAGAGAGGTGAAGTGGGTGAAATGATATGCTTTTGGTCCCCCTGACTTTGAGATCCAGTAAGTTGAACTTAGCTCCATATGGGCAACTTCTCATAATAATCTTCTGAATTAGATATCGGTGCATTGTTTACCACTTAAAAAACCAAAGCTTAGGGAAATATCTAATTCAGAAGATTATTATGAGAAGTTTGAGATACCACATGTAAAGGACCTGGTACACCGCTTAGCACTTATCCCTCAAAATAGTAGCTATCATTATCATTTCATTGTTGACAAGAGAGTCAGGAATTTGTAGGCAAGGCGCACGCGCGTGCGCGCGCGCGCACACACACACACACACACACACACACACACACACACCTTGCTTCAAAACAACTCTGCCTATTACATTTCGTGAAACCTCAGACAAGTCCTTTTCTTCTTTTTGCTTTTTTTTTTAACCTGTATGATGGATATAATAACACAATCTGAGTCTTCAGGTATCAGCTATGATTAAATGAGACAATGCAGACAGGTAAAAGCATCTAACATAGTTCCTGGCACATAGGCTGCTCAATAAATGTTTATTGAATCTGAATTTAAAGTATATGCCTCATCCAGATTGCAAATATTAGTGACTTTATTCATCCACAGGCATGAAAACTCGGAGTTAGATATGTTCTGATTTTACATCTTTCAAATTACTTGGTCTTAAAGAAGTTATTCATTTTTCTGTAGTGTACATTTAAAGTAAGGTACTTGAAAAAAAAAGTGGCTCTGTATAGGAGCCTTATATCTTTATGTAAGTTAATAAAGAGGCTAGGAATGTTCTGCAGGTTTCAGAAATCTGGCGGCTGTTACTTTAACTCTGCAACTTAGACAGAAGACTTCTGTTTCTTTCTGAGCACACTACAGTGAATATTTTGTCTAGCTGCAGGGGAAAAGCTTTGTCATGGACTTTGCAGACAATAGCCTTAAAAGTAAAATGGTCTGCTTTTGGTGCCGGGAGGTTCAGGGGCCTATTGTTAGCGCACAATGGATTTCTATTGCTGCATTCCTGCTTTGCAAAGGTTTGTTAGCTTTTAATGACTGACAGTACTCTATTGCAAATACCGTATTGGCTGTGCCCTGTTTACATGCTACTCAAGAATTTTTGTGGAGTGCTGGAAAAAAAGAAACAGTGGTGTTTGTCTGACCTACTCTGATAAGGTTTAAAAAATGATTTCACTCATGAAGTGTTTACTGGGAATGTAGAAACATTGGAAATCCTTGCAGAAGTATTTTAAAGTTAGTTTGAAGGCCTCAATGAATAGAAATATTGATTACAGTAGAGATTTAATCCACTTTATTACTCAGAATTGTCATTATCATTTTCAAAACAATATGGTACAGAAATAGGGATATTTTAAGATAAAGTAAAAGTAAATTTTATAGGATCTTTCTTCCTTAAATGTAAGAAATGGAGATATTTTGTTACAAAGGAAGAAATGCATTTTGCACATTCCATAGTAAATTCCATAACAAATGTGTACACAGTAGTTGTGGTAGGTGTGTTTATGTGTGTGTCTATGTATATTTTTTCATATATATATTTTTCACCATATGTATAGACTATAGGCTATGTAAAACAGTGACTCACTCAGAGCTTTTCACTATTTTATTTTCCATAAGCTTTTGACATCTGAGAAAAGCAAATAAATAAATAAATAAATAAATAAATAAATAAATAAAAGCATTCAATATTGTCAGTTTTTCCAAGGAAATTTCACTTCCACTTTGTTGAAAACTCCACACAGGCCTTGTGACTCTGACAATCAATGGCTGTAAGATGGGGGCCTGAGAAAAGTAGATAGCATTAGCCAAAGATGATGATGATGCCTTAAAATGCATTTTACTGTGGGGAAAATGAACCAGTTTCTAATAATCTTATGGTCTCTAGGCCAGACGGTCCCTTTGATAAGTTAACATGTACTCCCTTTATGCTCCTAGTAGGGGGTAAACAAATGTCTGAACAAGCACAAATACACATAAACACCAATGTGGAGAATGGCAGTGTATGTCTTAGATCTAGATAATAAGTGTGGGTATTGTTATTTAGATGGAGCATACTGGGACACTTATCTTTTAGTACACTCCATTTTCTAACTGAATGCAGTGCTAATCGTGGGATTGAAAGCCATTGTAATTGTGTACCCATCTAAATGCTGACAAGAATATACAATTACATTGTTTGGAATTGAGTTTAATGTTTGGGAGTTTTATTAGCATTTATGTTTACTTATACATTAAAATTCAACACAAAAGAAGAGGTCAAAAACCATGTGATATATAGAAACAAAAAAAACGGACTAAAGCATAACCTTGCTCTTTAAAATATATCCGCCCTGTCTCAACAGTGGGCATTTTCAAAGAATGTGATACAAATCTGAAATAAGCAAATAATAGGTTTCCATTGTAAGCATTACTCACTTTGGTAGATTTTGCAATCTTTGTAAAGCTTCTTTTGTACGAACTTTTTTTTTTTTTTAATGTTCATGGTACTGGCAAATCTTTCCACAGTGTGCTTACCACCATACGATGTTAAACACATATTATAAAGTGGATGTAATTGTAAACACACAGAGGGATATAATTACATGTAGCAGATTTAAGAGCTAATTCTTTGCCTTTTTTCCCCCTGCATTTTATCAACATAATTATTTTTTGACTGCAGACTAACACCCTGAAATTGACAAGCATCTATTATAGCAGGAATTTGTTCACCAAATTGAAAAACAATGAACTGCAGGTTTATATGTACCCATTGTCATAAAGAATTAGTAGGGCTTTGTTCCGCAAGAGGAAAAAGCTAATGATTTTGAAACAGCAGGTGACAAAACACATTCTTTTTTTCCCCCCCTGTTATCAGTTTGTTGATGAAGTCATTATGAACTGGGGCCCGGATAGGGATGGCCTTATTTTTAGCAGATAGACTTTTAATGAGCTGCATTGTAAAGACAGTCATGTTGATTTGCTTACATTTTTTTTTTCCTTTCCTTAGAAACCCCCAGTATTGAAAAGCTACTCTCAAAGGACTGGAAAGACAAACTTCTTGCAATGGGATCAGGGAACTTTGGTGAAATAAAAGGTAACATATTGACAATTATTTTGATCCAAAATGTACTGAAATGAAGTTTATGTTTAGAAACATTAACAGTGAAAAGTGCTGCTCCTTCTTCTGCCTCATGCATTCTGTCTTTGGTGTTTCTTTTCCCTAGCTTGAACGTGGACGTGTCAGGACTCTGACTTTCTCTTTGTGCCTTATTGATAAATGGGATGCTATTTTAACAGACTAAACCCCTGTGTCTTCAAAAGGCTTTGGTTTTCATCATTAAAAAAAAATTAAATGATTCACCTTGTCAGTAGGAATGTATTTATATCAGGGTTAAAAACTGCATATGATGAGATGAGTGTATATATTCTACTGTTAGAAGTGTGAAGGTACATAATTTACATTTAAAACCAGACATGGTGAATGGAGAAAGCTTAATAAAAGGTTGTATTGTACTAACAAGAGCAACATTTTTTGTTTGTTTTTATTTGAATCAGACATTGAACACAACTAAGAAAAAGTCTAGATGAACCTCAGATGATACTGAATATTCATATCTTAATAAACTTTTACTAATAGCAGTGGGAAAGGACTTAATTTCCCATATAAAAATAGTTAAATGATCATTTCAGTCAATTTCAAAGTGTGTTTTCTCAGAGCATGGTAGGCAATCTATGGTTTTCTGTCTGTTGCCAGTAGCACACTTGATTCTGAGTTCTAAAGGATTAATCTTGAGAAAAAAATACTTATTCATCAATATTAAAATATTTAGTTATATATTACACTATATGGTTTTTTGTAGCAGCTGAATATATATTTAAATATCACCAGATTTATATTAATATACATGTAGAAATATGTGTATAAATAACTTTTTTGCATATGTATGTATGTGCACGTGTTCTCCCAATGAAAAAGGCAATTGTCTTTCTTATGGCTCTATGACCTCTCAGCATCCCGCAGAAAGGCAGGACACTAGCATCTCAGCATTTTGAAACTTCCAGAAAATGTTTGACTGAGTGTTTCACTTCTTATCCATTGTATTTGAAGTTTAAATATATTCAGGTTATGATCAAGTATGACTTGGTGGTGAGAGAATGAATGAGTGCTAATCAACAAAATCAGTAACCAAAATCTATCATGGAATCAAATTCAAACAGATAGCAATTAATATGCCTTAAAGAGCTTGAAAACAGAGTTTAAACAGAACAGAGGAATTTCTTTTCCTAGGCCACAGATCCTTTATATTATTATGTTGGCTTTTAACCCATTTACACCTGAGACGTAGAATGTGTTCTCCAAGGTTCTTTATTCTCCTCTGACCGAGGTGATAACTGAGCATATAGCAGAGAAGACCGCCTGTTCCAAGCCTTGTGATCTCATTCCATTGGAGGACAAACATTTTTCCCTCCCTAGTTTTCTTCACAAGTCGAACTTAAAAGCAGCCACAGCAGTGATGATAAGCTTAGAGAAAAGCAGCTCAGCTATTCTTCCAGGCTTGCCTGTGGGCTTGGTTCAGGAAGCTGCGGTTCAGTCAAAAGAAGTTTCCGTCTTTAATTTTGAGTTTTTTAAAGCTTCGCATTCAGAGCATAAGTTTGGTTATTGTCCTGTGTTCTGTTCAAAAAGCTGTTTTCCGATGCATTTTAAAAGCAACTGTAGACCTTTCTTCTGTTGGGGGGCATGGTTATTAGGTGCTTGGATAGGTTTGGCAGAAAACTGGGAAAATAGCGCTGGCTTACTTTTCCTACTGACTGCCCGTGACAGTTGCAATTACTATCCATTGTTCGTAGGTGGCTAGAAAGTGGAAAGGATACAATAGTGTATAGCCCTCTGGGGGTAAATGAATTTGACTTAATGGTGTTTGGGGGGTCAGACACTCTGATTATGCCATGCCCAGGAATGTGGTTTTCATGCCACCTCAGAAGTTATGGGAGAACAATGGCTTTGCTGTTTGCAGCATTTTTTTTTTTTAATGAAGCAAATAAAGGTGTAAGTCTCATGTACGTGCACACTGTTTTGGGTTGGGATAGGGAAGAATAAGGGTGAGCTTTTTTAAATCTGAAATATGCACATATTCAATTATTAGATGATTTATGAATGATAATTTTGAATAATATATTTGATAAAATCTTGCATATGTTAGGACATTTACAGCCTTTACAGTATTTACCAAGTCTTGTGGATTGAAACTTTTCTCCTCTGTTTACACTGGTCAGTTTTGATTTAACTCTGTAAAAAATTTTAATGTTTGTTTTTGAGAGACAGACACACAGACAGACAGACAGACCATGAACAGGAGAGGGGCAGTGAGAGAGGGAGATGCAAAATCTGAAGCAGGCTCTGAGCTCTGAGCTGTCAGCACAGAGCCCAATGTGGGGCTCCATCCTACAAACCGCGAGATCATGACCTGAGCTGAAATTGGATGTTTAACCGACTGAGACCCCCAGGCACCCCATTTAACTTTTAATAGTTGCAGAAAATGTGTGAGTAAATGAGTGTGTGTGTGTCTGCATGCACATGTGTGCCCATTCTTGAATATCTAAAATTATAGCCAGATGAGGACAGAGCTCCGTTCCTAAATGCTAACCTTCAAGTTGCTGCACGTGAATTCTTTCAGAGCGTTTGGACAAAGATTAATATTACAGCTTGGCAAAGTTCAAAGAAGTGTTTCTTGCTATTACTATTTAAAAAGTTAAAATGATAAACTTCTAAAAATAAGAGAAATAAATAGCATTTGGTTTGGATATTTTAGCTATCAATAAATAGTTGTCATACCCACTTAAAGTCAATATCATTCTTCAAGAAACAATGCGGGTTAGTAAAGGTCACCCACTTCTAAGAGCATGAAATTATTTTCCATGTTAGGTTATTTTGCCTGTTAGAATTTATTCCATTTTTATGGTCTGGTACTTTGGAAATGTGAAGTGATTAGGTTTTAAAATTACATTAGAAACAATCCTCTAAAAAACATACAACAAGGACACTAGATCCAGTTTTGCAAAACAAAACAGTTTGACAAAAAAA